AAAGTATTGTGTAATGGTTCGAATTCACAGTTTTATGTTGGCTTGGGTCTTAAGGTGGACCGGAACTGCTTGTGGCCCTTATACAGGCCTAGGTACAATGACGGTGTTGTTTTGTTCAAGGTCACACGGGGGGAAGGCAGACGGGAAGATCCGGCACTGCCACTGCATCAACTGCCAGTTCCAAAAAAGGTGCTTAATTCAGTGTTTATGTTTCGTTGTATGATTCAGTATATGTATACTAAAATGCATTGGCTGTAATAACTTTTGATGTTTTTTCTTATGAATTATACCCGATGTAGCTAAATGTCAATCTGTTACACAGATTCTAGCAGCCTTCTCGTGGCATTTGCAGGGCATTCCCGAAAAGCAGTGGTTTTAAATAGCACTGAGGGTTCTACCCTGTTTAAATAAAACAGACATAAATAAATAAATAGGCATATACCGATACTGCTAACTAATCATCATTAGCTATAAATATGAAGTCCTCTTGAAGCAAAGATCTAGATATGTAACAAAGTATTGAAGTAATACATGAAGTTTTTCATGCACTGTATACAGCAAAGCCAATGTCACATCGAATTGAAATTGCATTCACCTCCGGTTTATAACTTGGTTTGCGTTTTGTAGGGTACTATGCAACTGATGGAGGATCAAGCAGAGATGGTCGCCATCAGTCCACCCAGCAACCAGCACGAGGAAGTGCAGGTATTATAAATCTATAACAGTCAGGTTCCGCCAAGTATGAATAATAGCAAAAAGAAATAAATTATATATAGCTACTAGGATCATTGGATCTCAAAGAGTTAATATTTCATCCAACCTCGAAATTAAAACTTACAATAAGCAAAGCAAACAATGGTATCGAAAGAAAAGAGGTCAAAGCCAACTAGTTTCATTATTTTCAATGAGGGGCATTTTTTATTGGCTAATATCTACAGGTAAGTATAAAAACTAGCCCACTCTCGTTCGACAGATCCTATAGTATGTATAATGTAGCATACATTTTGCAGGCGCTGGTCCAAGTGGCATTCAAAGTCATTCCACTCAACAACAGACACGCCACACTGTAGGTGCGTATACAAAGCATGGTTTCGTTTAGTATGTGGTACTTATTATTATATTGTTCTTATTGAGCAGAGAAAGAAGTGTATGTATCACCTAAGAACAGCTAGTCAGTCAAGAGAGATGAAGGTAAGCGCATTAGGGACGAGTCCTATTACTTTTTAGTGCGGAAATACTGGGAAGTGTTTTTGGGGGGTACAAAAGTATTGTGTAAAGGTTCGAATTCACAGTTTTATGTTGGCTTGGGTGTTAAGGTGGAACTGCTAGTGACCCTTCGACAGGCCTAGGTACAATGACGGTGTTGTTCTATTCAAGGTCACACGGGGGGAAGACAGAGAGGAGGCACTGTCACTGCATCAACTGCAAGCCCTAAGAAAGGTGCTTTATTCAGTGTTTATGTTTCGTTGTATGATTCAGTATAT